ATTCGCTCCAATCAAGCATAGGTCTAAACTCAGACTCCTAGGCTTAGACCCAGCCGTGTAAGCATAAGCCTAAGCCGAGCCAAGCACAACCTTAGGTTTCAATGATCGTGCAGCTTTGACCAGACTTAGGAGGAGAACTGAACGTCTCTCAGATGACATAAGCACTGATGAGACTTGCTCCAACGCGGAAGTCTATGAGCAAAATCGCGGATCCCTCCCCTCGGAGATCTGAGCCGTTTCCTTGTTTTTCCTTTAACTCTGCCGAATTGAGCACCTCAACCATGATTTCCAATGGGCTGCCTTTTTATCATGAGAACTGCTTTCAAGCATTTTTTTTTGAGAAAAAATTGAGCTAAATTTTCAAGATTACCTTAAGCTCCTCTTCAAACAGCGGCCCGCAGACGTCTAAAGGATAATGTAGTTTTCCGGTTCGATAATAATTTAAAATCTGTGAGAAAACACCAGGATGTCGATCGAAAAAGTACTCGTTTAGAACCGGGTCGTAGTTGGCAAGATTGGTCGTCAATCGTGATAGCCTAAAAGTTCAAATAAAAACGAGTAAGTTGAATTTCTGAAAGATCCAGTGACTGAAATCTGTTTTTAGCAGCATCTAGCATTGAGTATAAAGCCTATGGGATGGAAATAACTACACAGCAACAACCATAAGCACCTTCCTCTCTTCATTTCTTGTGAAGGGTCTCAAAAGGGCGCATATACAGGGTATACAATAAAACATGAAAATTCATTACCAAAGAAAGTGCTCGAGATGGCCTCCTTTGGTAGCGATACAGGCTTGAAGTCTCTTTTCAACTGACATCACCGTGGGCCGCAAGTAGCTGACGTCGGCGTGACGTGAGTAGATCTTCAGACCAGAAGTGGCGCACGATTTGCAAAACGACAGGCAGTTGTTGGATCTGGCTAGCAGACATTCTGCTCGACCTTGTGTACACACAAGGAACCGTTTTTCAAATTTGTCATGGTTTGGGCAGGAATTACTTCTGAAACCATGACACCGCTTGTCTTTGTGGATGAATACATCAAAGCCAGCGCCCAGATCTACCCGGAAACAATTTTCACGTAATGCCCTTCTTCCAAGGACTCTTTTGACCTTCAGCGAACGTCATTGCATTCTTCAGCAAGACAGGGCGCCTCCACATGCCGCAAAATCAATGTTGGAGAACTGTGACCGTCATTTTCCAAGTTACCGGGCACAAAATGTTTGGCCATCTAAGTCGCCCGATTTGAACCAATTGATTTGGCGGTGTGGGGTTTCTTGAAGCAGAAGATGCCTTCTGAGCAACGTCGAAGTTTGGACTCCCTGAAGGCTTCCTTGGAGGAGGCGTGGAAGGAGCTTGACGTCAGCTACTTGCGGCCCACAGTGATGTCAGTTGAAAAGAGACTTCAAGCCTGTATCGCTGCCGAAGAAGGCCATCTCGAGCACTTTCTTTAGCAATGTACTGCCATGTTATAAGGTATATAAGATAAACCTCTGAAGATGTAAAAGCTTCTCGTTTTAAAAATATGGTCAACAATCCATGCGCCAATATTTACTAGCCAGCCACCCCGTAGTTCAGTAAATGAAGGCCAACTACGCGAATAGTACATCCACATTTGGAATACGTGACATTAGATAAAATTTGGGCGTGGAATACGCACAAATTGTATAGAGTGTCACAAGAGCAGGAAACTGGGCGAATAAATATTTCTGATCCGCTAGTTTTCGATTTGCGAGAAAAAAAAAAAAAAAAAAAAAAAAAACACATAAGCACGTACAGGACAAAACTAAAATGAGAACCATTCGTCAACCGATACCAAAACGACAGAATCGTATTTGCGATTCTGTGATGAAGTTTGATTGGAAAATCTTCGGGGTATCTGGAATCAACCACTTGCCACGATAGACCCCGCCATGTACGTTTGAAACGATAGCTGTTCTCAGCCTCAATCCATGGTATCTCTCACCCATCTTTAGAGAATGTACCCTCTCTTTCAAAAATCGCGAAAGAGCGTCGGTGCAGACCACACACCGCAGGTGACCACGGCCCAAAAATGTAAATCGTTTTTCTCCCAAGATACGATAACCGTGAAAAATTGTACTGCATCATTGCCAATTAATTGCAACTATCATTTACCTAAAAATCAGCTCACTCTACCTACACTGACTGAACTTATATTTGGAGGGCGCCCCAACTTGTGGTGTGGTCTGCATCTGACGCATTCTCGTTTTTTGAAAGGGAGGGTAATTACTATCGCGAAAAACGTTTTATTGGAAAAGATATCCGAAAATTCTGCTTCATTACTTTAATTCATTAAAACATTAAATCGGGAAAAAATGAGAAAAATTACCTCGTGGCCGGTATCTTTTTCAAAGGTTTGTATGTCTCGTGCCTAACACCGCCAACATTAAGTATTATCCTATATTCGGAGTCCATAACGGCGTTCCTGAAAGATCGATATGAAGAATGAAGACAAACAAGAAAAGGGTCGAGCTTTGTGGAACGAGCATGAATTTGACCTCAATGTCAAATCGTAAATATCAGTCAAAAAGTTGCTTTGATTATTTATTGTCTTTAGATGAATAAGAATAAACAGATGAATAATTTGATTTATCTCTTGAAAAGCTACTTCTGACACAATTGAAGTGAAATCATAAAGTTGCTGTTCCATCTATACCGCACGTAATTCGACAGTTATCTATCTGTATTTGGGCTGCGCCACAAACTCCATGTAGAGTAGCGGTCAAAAGTAATCGCCGAAACGATTTTCAGTGATTTTTTTGTTTGTGTGCCACACAGGTTTTTTACGGTGGAATCTTTATTGAGCCTGACGTTTCGACTAATATCGTCGTCCTCAAAGGCCTGAAAGCGTTTTGAAAAACTCAAATGTTACCTATCCGCTCATATGGATCCACATTTGAGAACGTCATGCAGTGCACGTACGCTCTTTATAAGCAGTGCACGACTGGTTGTCTCATTTATTCTACTGTCTCTGGAGGGCATCAAGGGAGGCTGTTGAGCGAGAAGCGGTGACGCTGGTGGAGTTGAGGTAAGCGACCCAATCTTGGAGTTCCCACTCCTTAGTTCATTAGCCTACGTGGTACTTGGTCAAATGTGGATCCATATTGAGCGGATAGGTAACATTTGAGCTTTTCAAAACGCTTTCAGGCCTTTGAGGACGACGATATAGTCGAAACGTCAGGCTCAATAAAGATTCCACCGTACAAAACCTGTGTGGCACACAAACAAAAAACAACTGTTCAACATCAAAATGCCCAGGTTTCACGAAAGGCGAACATGGAGGATTTCAGTGACTATTTTCGCCCGCTCGAGCAATGTCCCCCAACGATTGATATACTACGCTTTCTGGTGTTTTTGTATCCTCAAGCCCTCATAGAATCAGGATATTCAAAAAGTAGAAAGTTGTCAAGGTCACCAATGATTTTTCTAGTAGAAAAAAAGAAGCACGAATACCGCTTCGGCCAACGCTTCTGACCGCTACTGTACCCCAGTGCAGAACGGTAACAGCGTATGAGAGCGACTTGACCCTTATCAGTGAGCTTGATTCAAATTACTCGACCCTGTAGTCTTGGTTGGCCTGCATGAAAATCCGCCTTAGAAGTGTGTGCGCGGTCGGCTGTGATACAATATCAAATGCCACTACACCATTTCCAACTGTTCTGCCGAAAGTGAGACATACGGGGGAAAGGGGGCAAAAAAAGAGTCACCCGTCCCTATCAGATGGAATCAATTACACCTCGGCCCTCCCTATTCGGATAGAATTAATAACACCTTGCCAAATCCCAACCGAGTATCTTCTCTGAAAATTGAGGAGTACATTCCAGTATATCAGAAACTTTCACAAAAGTTTTATACGCGGACAACATCAGAAGAATTCGCCACGGAAACATATTGCTCCTCTCAAGCTAACTTGGTCCTCGACGGATCGTGGACCATTACGGCATTATCTGAAATGCGGTCACGGTCGAAAGGGGTCTGCACAATCAAAGCCACTGTCTCTAAGAAGCTGTACAACAGTTAACCTATTGAAGAGATTATGAAGTTGTTTCAGACTAGAGCGATTACTGTAGGACCCTTTAGGCTGGGCAGATGACGTCATATTCTGAAGACGCTGAGGGCAGCGAAAGAGGATTTACTTCTACTTCTGAGCGGTGAGGAACATTTCGCCGTAAATTTTATTAAAAGAATAATATCAAGGGCGGAAGTGGTGTAGTGGCAAGTGGCACGCTTACCACGCGAGCGGTCCGGGGATCAAATCCTGGGTCGTGAGTCGCCCGGGCCAACCAAGCCTTCCATCCCTCCGGGGTCGGTTAATTGGTACCAGACTTGGAGGATAAAAACACTGACTTGTACATCGGCTGGCCCCCGCAAGTCATTGTATAGGCCACATCGCATTCAAACGCCACTACGAATGTACAAATGGAAGTAGAATGCGTGCCGCATCCCAAAAAGGGATTGATCAACGGCAAATGCTTTATCCTTTTGTTTATCAACAGCGGCACTCTGCGAAAAGTTTGGTGAAGTGCGCCATCGGCAAAGTGATTCTTTTTTGGACTCTTTCTGTATAATCACCACCTGCTATAAGCTAAAGGAATTAGATGGCTGAGCGCAAGAGAGAAAGCTGTAATAAGAGGAATTTTCAGATATCCTCCCGTGCATATTCATAAATACTCGGATACACACAGGTACATATGGGGTAAGCCATAAACAGTGATGTGATAAAAAAAGTACTGTGAGATACAAAGCTCTACGCAGCTGAGAACAAGACTGTTCAACCTCAAGTGCTCTTCCTTGTGCTGCGGCACACGATAACCAAAGGTGAAAAGCTGTTCGAAATATGTCAGAACTCTTCAACGGACTTTACATCCACTGTCACTGCTTGATCCTCGAGATCCATGACTAACAGATAGATGACCCGAGAAAGAATCGAAGAAACGATAAAGGCTACATAAGTCTGCCACAATTTGCATGACGCCATACACACACTCCCTTAGCAATAATAGCGCTGTGGCTATAAACCACACATACCAGGTGCATAATCGAGGGATTGATGGTGAAACTCGCCATGACCACCAAACCTTCTGAAGGAGACCAGAGGTCTACTATTTTCTTAGTAATGCTAGAGTAATATTTAGCACTGACGCTATAAGCAATAAGTTTCTTAAGCGATGGTCCACGCTGAGAGGTTTTCAATTGGACCGCTAGAATAGGTACTTTCGCAATTTTGGAAATGTGAGGCACCCCTAATGGGTGTCAGAAAGTCACTTGGAATATCCAATTATAAATCTGACGAGCTGTGAATACACGAGAAAACGTCTAA